CTTAGTCAAAATGAATTAAGAGAGGAGGTTGCAAAAGAAAAAGATAAAAATGGTGGTAATAAGTGAATAGGACCGGCTACTGAACTTTGTGAAAGTTGTCAAGAAAGATTTTTAAGTGAAAAGATGAAAGAATTTAAAGGAGATTATTATTGTTCTCCTTGCTATCAACAAATAAAGAAAGACCATGAATAAAGAAATACAAGTAAATAAAATGGAAAAAGTAAAGATTAACGACTTGAAATGAGTAAACCCAGACACAGGCAAGACAGTTAAAGAAGCAAAACCAAAAACCGAGTGAAAACGAACTACTTTTGACTTTTTTGATGGTAAGGCATGATGTTATAAAAAGATGGAAGTTTTTAAATGTGAGGAATGAAGTAAAGAGGAATTAAGGGCAAGAGGTTATTATTGCTATAATTGTAAAAATGAACTAATTTTTAAATGAAAAGATGAAAGTTGGAGAGATGCAGAACCTTTTAAATTTCACAAGTTATTAGTGAAAGTATTAGAAAAAAAAGACGATGATTGACGGACAGGCAGAAAAACCCACACCTATTATGCTTTTTGCTGTAAATGTGCTATTAAAGATAAAAGTGATGAAACTATTAAGAAAAGGTTTGGAAAAGTGATGGAATTTGAAATAGATAATTGTGATTGTGCAACTTTTATTGAGGAAAAGAAAAGAGAAGCAACCAACAGCATTAAAAGTTATGAAAGTATGATTACGGACTGTCGATGGTTAGAAACTCAATTAGAGGGATTAAAGAGGATTTTTAACATAGAAAAAAACGACTTCAAAGAACGAAGACTTGATGATTTTATACAGCAATTAGAGAAAAGACGAAGTGATGCCATTAATAGTAAAAAAAGGGAGGAGGATTATTTGAATACTTATAACGAGTGGGAAACCAAACTAAATCAACAAATTAAAGAAAATGAACCAAAATAATATGAATACAACTAATATTTACACTAAACTAAAAAACATTCAAAGTCAAAACACCGAAATCCTAAAAGATAACTTAAACAAATTTCAACATTACAAATATTTCACTGAATACCAGGCCTTAACCTTTTTAAAACCTTTACTCTCGGAGCAAAATTTAACCCTTCATTTGGAAGATTTAAACACTGATTATAAAGTTGAATTAATCGAAAAGAATTGAGTAATCCAATATTGAAAACAAGCCACTTTAATTGATGTTGAAAACCCAGAACAAAAAATAATCAGTAAATTTCTAGCCTTAGGTTCTAACCAGGACATAGCCAAAGCCAAAGGTTCAGCTGAAACTTATGCCGTGAAATATTTTTTACAGAAACTATTTTTGATACCCACTTCCGA